TTTCTCCAAAAACCCCAACACTCATGGCTTCGTCCAGCAACGTCGGGCGTGGCACGGAGACAAACACCACCGAGGAACAACTTCAAGTCCCCGTGGTGTGCGTCGGACAGTTCACCATCCCCCTTCCGGTGGATGGGATCCCCAGCTTGAATGCGCCACAAGCAGTGGCACCCGTAAACCTTTTGCCATGAGCATCCCCTTTCCTCTCCCTATCGAAACAACCTTTACTGAATCAACTGTTGTCCCCCTGGAAACCAGCCAGAACTAGTTGGACGACCTGATGCAATACATGCGGGCAATGCAAGCCCAAATGCAACATCAGCTCCAGCAACACCAAGTAGTGCACAACATCTCCCAGTATCACTATCAGCAGCAGTTCCCCCAACTGCCTCTGAACCAACCACTACTTCCACCTCGACACCCTGCTCCGAAGCCGGTTAAGGCCTTTCCTCAGGGTGGACGCCCCCACCAGGGAAAAGTCACCCGGCCCTAGAACCCCCCTAACAGCCAGCCCTCATCCCCAGGCCGAGGGGAAAGAAAAATCACCCCCGCCTCGCAGCTCGCAGGCGGGTCAGGAACCTCACTTGCAAGGTCAGCACCTCGGCGTTCCAGGCCTGAGTTCCCGCTCACGGAGAACCGATTCAGCACCCTGGCAGTAGACTACCAACATTTTGGGCCCATCAAGCTCAGCAACACAGAGGCCAGCAGCGCCAGTACCAGGCCCACTCAACAACGAAGGCGCCGGCGAAGTCACCGAGTTAATGACAAGTTAACTGCTAATTAACGACAAGTTAACTGCTAATTAATAACAGGTACTGGATTGTTACGTTTTGAAAGTCCAAGTATCGAATTGTCGCATTTTAAAGTTTCATGGACCAAAGTGACACTAGGCACAAAGTACATGGTACTAATTAGAAATTTTCCCTTATTTTTACACACAAAAATACAAAAAAAGTTATAGAAAAAATTGAACACATCTAATAATTCTATATTTTACACTACTATTAAAAAATGAATAAGATTGTGGAACTTTCTTTTGACTAAGATACTCATTTTTTAATTTACTCACTATTTAATTATGAGGTTTAAGTTGTAAATTGAACTACTACTTTTCACTCTATTCAATTCACTCTATTTAAATCTTACATGTTTTTTTGATAAATGAAGAAAATAAAAAAAAACACAAAAAGGATTAAATATTGCAAAAAAGATAAATCTAACTAAGCAAGTAAGCCTATCAATGATACTTGAAACTTCATAACTCGATTCGGTTATCACATATTTGCATGAGGTGTTTACGTAATCAAATTTGGATTTTCAATTTGCATCCGATTAATAATAAAAAACAAAAAATAAATGATATATAAAGTTTATAAAAGAATTTGGATACATTATTACTATCATTATCATCATCTAGAATTACTACTTGCAAAGCACGTGCATACTTACTAGTAATATTATATAGAGAAAATTGTAGGTTAATACCATGTACTTTGGGCCTAGTCCTACTTTGGTCTCCGAACTTCAAAATCTGCCAATCCAGTACCTAATCTTCCAAAACATGCCAATTTAGTACAAAACCGTTAACAACCATTAAGTGGCATGTGAAATGACACAAATGTCCTTTGAGTGTCATCTAATTTTCTTTACCAACCATCCAAATGCCTAAATCTATTAGAAGCCAACATAGAAAAGCAATCTGTCAAAAACTGATATGTTGCTTTGGTTCAATCTTAATTTTTGATAAAAAAAGATGATGAATAGTGTTGAAGGATAATTTTGATATTTTCAAAAGTTTTAAGTTGTACATGTCATCACATGATAGAAATAATTGACGAATTGCTAATAGTAGGGACTAAACTAGCACATTTTTAAAGTTTGGGTACTAGATTGTTATGTTTTGAATTTCGGGGACCAAAGTGAGACTAGGCCCATAGTACAGAGTACTAATCTGCAATTCTCCCTACTATATATTATATATACAATAATTTCTATGTTGGGCTAGTAGGGTTGTCAGTGGGTTAGGTCTAAGTTGGGTCCAAGTACAACTAGTCCCAAACCAATTATTAACTGGGACAAATCATTGACCCAGAAATTGCCATGGTCTAAGTCAACTAGGTCTAGACCCAATAGACCTGATTTTGCTGAAAACTGCACTTGTTTATTTAAACAATAACTAAAAATTTAAAATTGATTCTATAACCTTAATAAAAATGATAGAACCATACAAAATTATTTATATGTTGATAAATTAAACATTTTTAACTAATATTGTCTTATTTATTATCCATCAAACTTATCATTTCAAATGTAAAGTATGATAAAAATTACAAAAATATTATATATTTGACAAAATGATTGGTTTCAAGTTTGAATCGATTCGGGATAGGCAAGAATCAAAACTGGCCCAATTATTAAATGAGACAAAATCATGGAACTAGAACTTCATAATCGGTTCAGTTGGTTCAAGTCCTATCAAGTAGACTCGATCCATTGACAGCCCTACAGGCCATGCCAGCCAGGCCTAAGGTTTGCTTTGCCGAGGCCTAGCCCGCATTGTGTGCAAACTTGATGCAGATCTAGATCGACTTGGGCTTGACATAAATATGGCCGCTTAGGCCCATAAATTTACAAGCCAAGCAAGACAAGCCAGACATGATCATCCCTAATCAAAGCTCTTCTTGTATCTTGTCATAGGTAGCATAGGTTTTGTGTATATCATAAATAATCATCCCTAATCAATGCTTTTCTTGGATCATGTCTTTTGGGTAGCATGGATTTTTCCAAAGAAAATAAAAAAAATATCAATTTTACCCCAAAGTTTTGTTTCTAGAAGGAAAGCAACAACTGCCTAGAGTATTTTCAAAATAAGAAAATTTGGTCCAAACCCTTTTACATTTTTCACTTGTTTTGAGAGATTATATGACCATTCTTAAAGGAAAATACAAATAGGGGTGCAAATGGACCGGATCATGATCTGAAGTCCAATCCTATTTTGTCATTCAGATATTTCTATCTTGGATATTCGGATCGAATCAGATCAGATAATCGGATCTGATTAGAAAACGGATTGGATTCAGATAACTTATATATATATATATATATATATATATATATATATATATATGTTATATATGTATATGTGTGTGATTTATTTATTTATAAATATGTTATTTATATTGTATTTTTGTAAAAATAAAATCAGATTGAATATCCAACGTCCTGATCGGATTCAAATTCAAATCCGTATTTATGAGATCTGATAAATCTTCAGATTAGATTCGGATATACCTTAATTTGAATCGATCCGATCCATTTGCATCCCTAAATACAAACAGTTATTGTCAATTAAATAGAGTAGCAAGAAGAGTTTTTTAGTAATATACAAATTATAATGACCCAACAATAAAAGCAAAAGCTAACCAACTGATGGTTCACTTGGTTATGTCTCTGGTTCATTGTAGTAGAGACTGGGATCAAATCCCATTCTCACCAAGCTAACCAACCGATGGTGATTGACTTGGTTCTGTGCATTCCATTATTCCGACATTCCTCAATTCTCGTGACACTCGTTCTCAACCGACCGCCCTCTAGAAAGATTTTTTTTTTCATCTCGTTCATCCTCAATTGACTGTGACACATCTCTCCTACTTTCTTCAGCTCACCCCTTCTCTCTCTCTTTGAAACCGTGAAACTGACCAGAGCATTTGCAAATCTACATCTCCAAATTGGTGCTCAATAACGATCAAAGAAATTAAACCCGAGTAGAAAAATCATGGTAAGTACATAATCATCATATGCAACTCTCTTTGTCTACTAATTAACTTTCAAGTATTGTTACCATTGTTAATCAGGTGGTAGCAGCCTGACAGGTATAGAAGACGATGACAACAGGTGGCTGCCCCCCTCTGGCCCTCTTCTCCTAGGGTTCACATTGGCTCTTCACAGCACACCCCACAGCACATCTATTTGTCACAGGGAGATATTCCCAATGCACAATTGAGAGGTGCTGTGGATGCATGTAGGTGTGTTTTGTGGGGAGTCAATGCAAATTACTTTTCCCAGCCCTTTCTTTCTTTTTTTTTCTCAAATCAAGTTCATGCTGATTCCTACAAGAGTAAATGCAACATGTATTGCTTGAATTGCATGAATGGGGCTCCATGTTCTCTTTGCCTCACATCCATTTCTTGACTCCAGCACCAAAATGAGGGGCAATCTCCATGCGGGTTTTGCCTAACACCAACCTCACAACACATCGCAACTGTGCATTACAAGTATCTTTTCATGATTGACAAAATCAAGTATGGGAGATGCTTTTGGTGTGAAGTGCACTTTGTGAAAAGCAAATCCCATTGATGGAAGTTAATGGAGATTCTAGGACATGAATGGAATAATGTCTTAGGCTACATTTGGCATTCCTTATTTTAAGGATTTATCTCCTTTTGCAGTTAAAATGCTCCTATGAACTGAGTTTTTAAAAGCAAAAAAAGAGGTAAGTCGTTTTAGTTCCATTGTTGTTTAGTGGGCGCTTGTGTTCCATAAGCCTAGGCCTGATGGCTGATGCAATTTAAAATTTTCAAATCAGGTATCCAACTTAAATTCTTCAAAGCTGACTTTGAAAATTTAAATGTCTGACCCAGGGCATGGAAATAGTTGCAGTGGGTAAATAGAAATGCTAATTCTTTTAAATTCTTTTACTGACAGATTTGTGAAATAAAGAGTGGAAAGGGATGGTTTGTTTTGGGCTTTGTTGTAATTTGATTTCCCTTTTGGGGAGGGTTAAGAGAGTTTACCTCTCCCCTTGCTTTCTTGTATTTGTTTTTTTAATGATATTTAATAAAAGTTTCTATTATTGATAAAAAAACCTATATCCCTTCCACCATGTGAACGGATCAAGAAGTAAAAAACTAAAGTGAAAATACAAGGATGTAATAGAGAGGAATGCCAAGGCGAATAGCTGCGCAATCAACAACATCACGGAATCTCAATTGTTATCTGCAAGCAAAGTTGGGAAGAAGACACCATAAGTAGCTAATTTCAATATGGAAACTAGTTATCTACATAGAGAAATTAAAATAACATAAAATGTAAAAATTGCAGTTCGTTGTGAACAATATTAGTAAGAAGTTGAACCCTGATTTCTGATTTTCTAATTTCTGCGATAAATGGGAAACCTAATTAGTATATTATACATGTAATTTGCTGAGAATTAAAAGGAAACATGATCTATTATAAGAAGGATACTATTCAAAGTTGGTCCTCTCTATCTGGGGTCTTGATAGGAATAAGAAAACAACCTAATCTTGGCAATTTCTTGCACAAAGGTGCTTGCTACCAGACTTTGTTAACCGAGAGTTGGGATAAAAGCTTGGATGATGATGATGATGATATTGTTAGCAATTTATTGATTCATAATTTCCCCCGAGCAATACCATATTTTGGTTCTTCTATAAACCACTTCACACATACTAGGTCGCCAATTTGTAGAAGCATGAGCACAGGGAAAAGTGAGGAGGAAAAAGATAAAATCAGCCTTTGGAGGAACAAACCAAAGCCATAATTTCCGCCCTTACCTTGAATGGGGTCATAGGTTAAACCTCCTCTGGTTCACAATGCCATGGATTTGGTAGGTAGCCAAGATTGAATATGAACCAACATCTCCACCTCCTCCCAAAACATCAAATCTATTTTATCAAAACCTGTTCCCCATATTCTTATCTTCCTTCACCCCTTTAGTGGTTATTTTACAGATATATTCTGTTTTTGTCAATAGAGTAATGCACATTCAACATCCTTCATAGCAATTAGGATGTAGGACAGACTTCTAGGGCAGTTAGGTCGAAAGACTAGAGTGACAAAAGAAAAAACCTCATCCTTCATAGCAATTGGGATGTAGGACAAACTTCTAGGGCAGTTGGGTTGAAAGACAGAGTTGCAAAAATAAGAAAAAAGATCATTCTTCATAGCAATTGGGATGCAGGTAAAACTTCTGGGGCTGTTGGGTTGAAAGACTAGTAACTTTATTCAATAGAGAGAAAAGGCACATGAGGAGATGTACATGGGACTAACTTTAAATGGAACCTGGAAACTGATTGAGGTGGTTTTTTTTTTGTGAGAAAAGGTACATGAGGAGATGTACACGAGACTAAGCACTCAAAGAGTAATACAGGAAGAATACTATCACAAAAAAAGTAATCCCTGTGAACACCAGCCTTTGCTAGACCGTCAGCTACAGAGTTTAAGCTCCCTCAGGACCCAGCTCAAATGTGCATTCAAAGTGGAAAGAATGTCTCTCGCTTCAGCCAAGTAATGAGCTAAGGCCCAAGGACCACCGTCAGGATTAGCTAGCCAATTAATAGTATCGGCAAAATTTCCTTTAATGGTGAGATTCAAGTAACCCAGGTCTCTTGCAATCCTGATGCCAGGTAAGGCTGCCATGACTTCAGCCTTTGTTGAAGAGGCTATCCCAATCGGTCCACTGAAGACTCAACTAATAATGCCATCTCTTCTTCTAAAGACTGACTGAGGTAGTTTTAGTCTGTACAAAACCCATTCACAAACTCAGAAAGCATTCAAGAGAAGAAAATTAAACCAACTACAACTTTACACCTAAGTTTATTAATTTACCTCCATTTCCCACAAAGGGCTTGCAACATTCATCTCAAGATCGCAGTTTCTTATTCAAAACATAAGAAGACAGGATGAGGAAAGAGGTAGAATAGAATGCTAGAATAAAATAACTCATAACGTACCATTATGTGGCAACCTTCCTCAAACTTATTAAGAAAACCTGCAATCCAACAACCAGCATTCTCAACCCACTCTCCATGATGCATACCAGCTGTCTTTGCCACAGTATGCAACTGAAAACAGGGCAGCAAGGCCATGAAAAAGCTCCCCAATTCTCCATGAAACAATTCTTGGTATCAAGTTACAAAGCAGATATATATATATATATATATATATATATATATATATATATATATTAGTTTACTTATTTTATTTAACTATGTACAACCCCTGAAATGAAAATACCTGAATGATCATTTATATGAGAGATCATGTGTGACATAGTAAAAGCAACCACTGAAGAATAATGCGTTCTAAAATATTAAAATATTAGATCTATTGAGTCCATGGAAGAAGAGAACAAGATCCTGAATCCAATGAAATATGAGTCTGGCTTTCACTGGTCATGCAAGCAAGTCAGAAGTTCAAGGATTCATTTGAAGTTGCAGGTGTACGTCTAACTTGGGGACAAAAGAACCTGATTTGAAAACTGAAGTGAACATTACAAAAAATTGGGTTACAACTATTGAATCAAACAAAAATGAATATCTCTGTTTTGAATAACAAAACAAGGACTCGACAATAGAAGCAACAGGTCAATATAGGAGTTGGTATTTCTTACCTGCTTGGGGAGGCAGCTCCAAGTTGCTTCAATCACAAACTCATGCTTTTTGATCGGTGGCATAGTTTTCAAGGCACCAAGGGGAGGCTAGGCGACAGGGGGGTGCCTTGTCGCCTAGGCGATGGATTTTTTTTAAGTAAAAACATGTATCCTGTTATGGGCCCGGGAATAGGATATCGTCACGGGTCGGTCCACGGGGAAAACCTCATGTTTTCCCTTGTTCCTCCCCTTTCTTACAGAACCTATCTTGGCGTCCTAAGGGTGATTTGTCCAAGAGATCACCTAACTCTCCTTTTGCTCTCTTTCTTGACTGAAATTTGATGCCTTTATTCAATAATCTCAGCTCCTTAAATAGGAGATTACAAGGGGTAAGAGTCCTCTTTGTAGGAAGACTCACTGTTAAACTATACTGCTTACAGATAAGATAGATAAGACTCCTAGATAAGACTCCCTACTCAAGAAGGATAAGACTTCCTAAGATAGATAAGACTCTCTACTAATCCTTACCGAAACAGATAAGATAAGAATAAGATAAGAAAACAGATAAGATAAGATAAGGTGAATTGTGACTAGCTAGATAATCCGATGAGGACACCACATCACTGCTGCTGCCGGCAGCGGTACTTCTTCCCAATAAATGCGTCCACAACATTACTCCCCTCCTGGACTACGAGCTTGTCCTCAAGCTCGAAATCTGGGTATGTGTCTCGGAGTTCAGTCAAGGGAATCCAGGTGGCCTCGGCTGATGGTAAGCTGTCCCATTCCACCAGGACTTCAAGAACACCTCGATTGATTCTGGATCGGACAAGAGCCCGAGGTTGGGGGATGAGTCTACCGTCTTTCAAGGGTGGTAGGGGGGGGTACTTGGTCAGGAGGAGTACCCGTAAATGGCTTGAGCAAGGAAATGTGGAAAATATCATGGATTTTGCTGTGCTCTAGCAGTTCTAGCTAATATGCAACTGTGCCGATCCGCCGTAAAACCTTGAAGGGTCCATAAAATTTAGGAGCTAATTTAGGGCAGCCTTGTGTCTTAAGGAGCGTTGCTGATAGGGCTGAAGCTTCAACCACACAAACTGTCCTGGTTCAAGTGTTAATTCCCGATGATGCTGGTCATAGAGCTTCATGCGTAATTGCGCTTGGTGCAAGCGGAGAGAAACTTCAGCTAGGAGGGCATCGCGCTCTTGTAGGGAACGATCAATTTCATCAAATTGAGTCGAACCGGGCTCATAGGATAACAAGCGAGGAGGGTCTCGGCCATAGACGACCCGGAAGGGTGTCATGCCAAGGGAAGAATGATAGGCCGTGTTATAACAATATTCGGCCCAAGGAAGCCAATCAACCCATCGACGCGGTTGGTCGCCAACAAAACAGCGGAGATACATCTCGATCATACGGTTTACTACCTCTGTTTGGCCGTCTGTCTGAGGATGGTAAGCGGAGGAAAAAGCTAAGGTCGTACCATGCAACCGAAACAGTTCCTTCCAAAAGGCACTAGTAAAAACTAGGTCCCTGTCGCTGATGATGGATTCCAGTAACCCATGTAAACGGAAAACATGCATAAAGAAAACGTGGGCAACTGAAGTAGCACTGTACGGATGTGACAGAGGGATGAAATTGGCATACTTAGAAAAGCGATCCACCACCACGAATAAAACAGATTTCCCGCCAACCTTGGGTAGGCCCTCAATGAAATCCATGGAGATATCAGCCCAGATTTGTGTTGGAATTGAGAGGGGCTGAAGAAGGCCAGTCGGGTGTAGGTTCTCCCATTTGTGTTGTTGGCACGTGGAGCAATTATGGATGAAGTCCCTAATAGAAGTTTTCATACCTGGTCAATGGAAATCAGCTCGGACGCGATGCAATGTCTTCTAAATGCCTTCATGGGTGGAGTTATGTATACTGGAGATGACAGAGGGAATTAAAGAAGAATCGACTGGGAGGTATATCCGTCCTTTGTATAGCACCAACCCGTCGTGAATGGACCAATTTGAGTCGGTTGTCCCAGACTGTATTTTCTGAACAAGGTCCGTCCACTCTAGTGATTGTGGCAGCGCATTCCTAATGTCTTCTAACAGGGTGACTCGGGGATGTGAAATCGCACAAAGGAGCATAGTATCTTCGTCTCGTCTAAACAAGGCATCTGGGGCACGATTTAAGGATCCCGCCTTGTAGTCTACCCGGAAATCAAAACCAAGCAATTTGCTAACCCAATGTTGCTGAGGCGAAGTGGTAAGCCGTTGCTCTAACAAATACTTGAGGCTGTAGTGATCAGTCTTGACGACGAAGGACCTTCCCCACAAGTATGGTCTCCAGTGTTGCACTGCTCTAGCTAGCCCAATCAGTTCGTGCTCGTAGGCGGGTAATTTTAGATGTCGGTCAGCCAGTTTGCGGCTAAAGAAGTTAATCAAGTGTCCTTGTTGCTGCAATACGGCTCCAACACCTATACCTGATGCATCGCATTCGACTGTAAATTCGAGGTCAAAATTCGACAACTGCAGAACTGGTGTGGAGGAGAGGGCATCCCTTAAATTTGCAAAGGCTGCATCAGCTGTGTCGTCCCAATGGAAGGCATTTTTCTTTAGCATATTGGTTAATGGGGCAGCCAATAGTCCATAATTTTGTACAAACTTGCGGTAGTATCCTGTCAGACCTAGGAACCCGCGGAGAGCCTTGGCGGATTGAGGTTTGGGCCATTCCTTGATTGCTTGAATTTTGGAACCATCCACCGTGACACCTTGCCCACTGATTATATGTCCTAAGTAAAGAACCTGGCGCTCCCCAAAAGAGCATTTGGACCGCTTAAGGAAGAGCTTGTGTTGGTGCAGGAGTTCAAAAATAATCTGTAGATGATGCACGTGTTCTATTCATGATTTACTGTAAACTAGGATGTCATCAAAGAACACTAAGACAAATCTGCGAAGGTGGGACTGAAATACCTCGTTCATCAAAGACTAGAATGTGGATGGGGCGTTGGTGAGACCGAACGGCATAACTAGAAATTCAAAGTGACCATGATGCGTTCTGAAGGTAGTTTTCTCTACATCCTCGGAAGCCATCCGGACCTGAAAATATCCCGACCTGAGGTCTAATTTCGAGAAGTACTGGGCTCCATGGAGTTCATCCAACAACTCGTCCACAATGGGGATAGGGAATTTATCCTTGACGGTCCGGTTATTGAGCTCTCTGTAGTCCACACAAAATCTCCAAGTACCGTCTCGCTTTGGCACCAACAGAACCGGCGAGGAGAAGGGAGAGCGGCTAAGACGGATGATTCCCTGTTTCATCATGTCCGTACACTGCTTCTCTATCTCGTCCTTCTACAGATGTGGGTAGCGATAAGGCCGGACGACGACTGGTTCTGAACCCGTCACCAGAGGGATCCGATGATCGCAAGCTCGGGAGGGTGGAAGTCCCTTGGGTTCTTGGAATACATCTGAGAAATCGGTGAGGAGTCTTTCCATATCTGTTGTGTGTACTGTTTCGCCATGAAGTGCATGCACCTACGGTTTTTTTGCCTTTACTCTGGTTCCCTGCCAAGTTACTTGTTTTCCATTCAAGCGGAATGTCATTGTTAGGGCGCTGAAATCCCATAGGATTGGGCCTAGGGTGATCAACCATTTAACTCCAAGAACTATATCAAATTCATCCAAGGATAGCACAAATAAATCAGCAGAGAAGGATTTGGATTCAACCTGTATTTGGATGCTCTTATAGATTCCGGGACTGTGAACCCTCTCTCCGTTTGCTACGGCTACCTGCAGCTGTGGTCTGATTTCCATAGGTAATTCCAACTGGAGGGCAGCTTGCTCACTTACAAAATTGTGCGTGCTTCCCGAATCAACGGGGATACGTACTGGTTTCCCTGCCACCTGCACCCGTAATTGCATAGTTTGAGAGGTCTTTATCCCGGTGATCGCATGGAGGGGGATCTCGGGTTCTAACGCTGCGGGTTCATCCTCGTCTTCCTCTTGTTCGTCCACCAGAAGGCAGAATAGCCTCTTGCATCTGTGCCCCGCCGAATATAGATCATTGCAGTTGAAGCACTGTCCCCTTGCTCGGCGATCTACCATCTCGGCTCTGGACAAACGTTTAATGGGTGGTGCTGCCATGCTGCTTCTCATGCTTGATGCCGACCTGGGAACATTACCTGTATGAAGTTTTTGTTCCCTACTAGTTGCTGAAGAAGGGGCCACCCCGGTTGAATTCAAAGGTGTCCATGATGTCGGCGGTCGACCCATACTGAAGGTACCGCGGCTGAGTTGTAGCTTACGTTCAAAGGCGCAGGCTAGGTTCATGGCTGTGACCAGGTTTGGAGGGTGTTGCATCTCCACATCCACCCGCAAGGGTTCTGCTAATCCTGCGGTGAACATGTCTACCAGCTAATCCGGTCGTACCGAGGCTGCTCTGGCAAGGAGGGTCTAAAATTGGCGCTGGTACTCAGCCACGATTCCTGTCTGCTTGAGGTTGATCAATTCACCTAGCGGGTTGCTCGTCAATGGGGGCCCAAACCTGAGGAGGCAGTAGGATTTGAATTGGCCCCAACTGAGCCTGGGTTCCTCCTGCTCCAATCGGTAGAACCAGAACTGTGCCTCCTCCGTTAGATGGAATGAGACCAGGCTGACCTTATCTCTGTTTTCCGTACGCTGATTGCGAAAGAACTGTTCACAACGGTATAGCTAACCCAGCGGATCTCCGGTGCCATTGTAAGAAGGGAACTCCAGTCTGTTGTACCTGGGAACAACCGCGGCTGCCAGGGCAACGATCTGCTGTTCGCCGGACGACTCCGTCAAATCTGGTCGGCGGCTGTTGGTGGTTGCAGTCCCTTCGGAACTCTTCTCCTTGTTAGAGAAATACAACTCCAGCAAGCGTCGTAGCTCTCGAACATCGTCCTTGACTTCACGTACCTCTGCATTGTTCTCCACGAGCCTGTGCTCCAGTTCGTGGACCCTGGACAACAACTGCTCCAGATCGCCCATGACGTTTGGCTCTGATACCAAAATGTTATGGGCCCGGGAATAGGATCTCGTCACGGGTCAGTCCACAGGGAAAACCTCCTGTTTTCCCTTGTTCCTCCCCTTTCTTGTAGAACCTATCTTGGCGCCCTAAGGGTGATTTGTCCAAGAGATCACCTAACTCTCCTTTTGCTCTCTTTCTTGACTGAAATTCAATGCCTTTATTCAATAATCTCAGCTCCTTAAATAGGAGATTACAAGGGGTAAGAGTCCTCTTTGTAGAAAGACTCCCTGTTAAACTATACTGCTTACAGATAAGATAGATAAGACTCCCTACTCAAGAAGGATAAGACTCCCTAAGATAGATAAGACTCTCTACTAATCCTTACTGGAATAGATAAGATAAGAATAAGATAAGAAAACAGATAAGATAAGATAAGGTGAATTGTGACTAGCTAGATAATCCGATGAGGACACCACATCACTGCTGCTGCCGGCGGCGGTACTTCTTCCCAATAAATGCGTCCACAACATATCCTAGGGTAGTTCCCTAGGTTCCCTAATCATATTTCCTTGATAAATATCCATAATTTTCATAAGAAAAGTATAAACTTCATGTTTAAGTATAGAAAATCAACATATTCCAATATATTCATGAGAAGAAAAAAAAGAAAATTAAAAAAATATAGGGGCTGAACCCCTATTTCTGTTATAGGGTAAGAAGAAAAGAAATCAGTATACACACACACAAAATTAGTAAAGAAAAGGAAGAAAATGTGTTGATTGGACAACATTTTATGTTCTTCCTTACTTATTGGTTCAGGTTTTGAAGTCTTTGAGGGTTCGATACAGCATTTAGCAATGTTTGTGTTGATTAAACCCTAACAAATAAGAAAATAATAAAAAGAAATTAGTATACAAACACAAAATGAATATTTTAGTTTAAAAATGTCTATTTTATAATTATAACCTCAAAAAATTAAGAATATAAAGGTTTTTTATAACACGCTATAGAAAACTTCTTGGCGATTAGGTGAGGCAAGCCTCCAATGCCACCTAGGCGTCACCTTGACAACTATGATCGGTGGATGACTGAAGCAATTCAAGTGGCAGCACCAAATCAGTGGATGACAGAAGCAACAACTTCAAATCACAGTTCAAGTTGCAGCTCTTCCAACCAAAATTCCAAAACCCTAACATGTTTTGGTAGGAGTCTGCCTACCACAGGTGTCCCTTCGAGGGAGACACAACCTCCTGAAGATTTTGAAGAGAAGAAGAAGAGAGATTTTGAAGGTAATTTGATATGCATTAATCCTTAGGCTAGGCCCTTTTTATGGATGGACCCGAAACAAAAAGAAACAAGGTAAAAGCGTAAAACCAAAAAGCAAATCTCCCTAATCATCCGGTGGTTACAAGGATATTCCCTGTCAAGTTAGTTATTCGGTGGCAGGAAAATATCCTCCAACGGTCTCGATAATGCAAACTTGCTGATGAGGTCTTCTAGAATAGACCCGAGCTATGATGGGGCTATAAATGATCTGGGCCAACGGGGCAACCTGGCTGGTATGTGAGTCGTTCTCAGGTTGGGCCCTAACATGTTCTGTTTTGTATCAGTTAACATTGAAATTGGAAGGGATTTTTAATGGACCCAATTTGATAAAATCCAACCCAATCTGATAATATAATGGTCAATCCAATTCAATAAGTTTAATGGATGTCCAAATCCAATTTTATTGGATTGGGTTCAGATTAGATCCAATCCAAATCAGGTTTATTGAAAGCACAACTAGGGGTGGATTCGAGCCGAGCCGAATAGCTAGCTATTCGAGCTCGGCTCGCCAAGGCAATACGAGGCTTGAGCTTGAGCTTTGCTCGAGTCAAAAGCTCGTAACCTCGAGCTCGTCTCGGCTCAAGCTCGACTTGAGAAAAATGTTTTATAAAAATAAAAAATATATATGAAAATATTTTTATTTGATATTTAAAAAATTAAGAATTATAATAATTAGTTATTATTATATATAAAAATAAAAATATTATGTATATAATATTTTCTATAGCTATTCGAGCTCGGCTCACGAGCCGAGCTTTTCACAAGCTAAGCTCAAATAGCTCGTAAAGAGCTCGGCTCGTGGCCACCCCTAAGTGCAACCAACATGTACTTTCTATACTGTCTTTTCATATATATGTATGTATGTTTGCGTATTGTGTGTTAATCAATGGTATACTTTGATTATTATATAATTTCCATTTTGAGTTGATGCCACAAGACCCACAATAGGTCTTGCAGTTGCTCTCAAAAACATAACAATTTATACAGATGAAAGAACTTTTAGAGATGTATCAATTAATAAATGTATGAATTTAAGGTGATCTTAGACGTATAAGTAAAGATGGCATATGTGCAATGCTTCCATTCACCCCTTGATTATTTTGGTTTTTTCCATAAAGTAAATACTATCCAACATTCACCAAGGGAAGATATCAGTCATGGAAAATAGAAGAGAAAGGAAGTTTCCAAGAAGTAGCCGGATCAAACAAGAATAAGAAACTAAAATGGATACAAAAGAAAGTGTTTTGTATTCATGAATAACGTATTTCATTAGGTATCCTAAAGGACAACCACACACTTTTGATGCAACAATAGATTTAGCAGTTGTGAGTACATCACTAGGAAATGTAAGGTACACCATTATTTATCTATAGGTTGGATGAGAAGTAAGAATAAAGTACAACATTAATGATGCAAGTAAATTACAAAAAAATCAACTAAATCTTAGGAAAGCTAAATATAGTATAAAAGCACTGCAAATATTAGTTTCCTTCTCCATGACATTGCAAATTGAAGTTACCATGCAACACTAAGATAAGTGATTCAGCTTATGAACAACAGTCGTTCTAAATCACAAAAGCCTAATTGTGTAGAACTTAAGAAAGAATGTCAGTAAGGTAGAAAGCCAAAGTCAAAGAGTGAAATGTGCAGTACTTGCTGCATCATATAATAATCTGCAAGTGGCTACATGAATAATGCATTTGCCAAGTGAAAGCATATGAAGCATATAAACAGGAGTTAAAGCACAAGGAAAACAAAAATTCTGTATTCTTTCCATGAAATCAAGCAAATCCAAATATGTGCATTTAACAAGAGATACATTCTCCAAACCTCCTACTAATCCATTTTAAGACAAGGATTATTGCATTGCCTCAATAATTTTGAATTAGAAGAACAAACACTTTCCTTGATTTCCAACCATCTGCACATCAATCAGCCTTGCTTGTGTTTGTTCATACAGGCACCAAACTGGTCCAAGTATCTTGAAATCCAAGTAAACTGGATGAATTATCTGGTCTAGTAGCTCGATAAAGTGTTATTTACGGTGCATAAGACTGCCGATGAAGATGGTTTCCTGCCTGATACACCTCGAGGTGGCATATGGCCTTATGAACCAATTCTTTCAAAGAAGAATTTTGGGCTGCCACTGTACGAACAACCCCCTCAAGAGCCATCAATGCCCTTGATCGTTCCAGAGCCTCACTATCGCCCACATGCAATGCCAGGTAACAGAGGAGTGCCACTCCGTGCAACTGAGCCCGTTCATTGCCCCTTAGTAATCTCATAAGAGGCGGAACCCCTCCGAAGTCGATGATCGCCTTTGAGTGCTCCACGCAAAGGAAATTATCAGGACAAGCAAACTTGACCAAAGCAATGGCAGCTTCTGTAGCCACATCAGGGTTCCTGTTGCTGAGCTGTGACACTAAGGGACCAATAACTCTCGTCTCTCTCGCCGGGAATGTACGAGCCAATGAACCAATGGATTTTATGGCGGGAATTTGCAACGACGGAGTGCTTATCTCCCGAATCACCCTTAGAAGCTGATCAACAACTGCCTTTGCAGGAGGAGAGTTGGTCTTGAAAGCTGCCCGTCTGAGGTCAGCATTGGTCTCCGCCGCTGCAGTTATCTCCATTACCGTCAACAAGCAATTGAGCTGCAATTCCCCCTGCTGGCTCTCAATGAGCTTCGCCAGGCAAAAAAGGCCTTTGGTCTCAGTGATCCTGCGGCTGTTGGAGACACTCTCTTTGGAGAGCCTCCATAGTGCCTCGGCACAGCTAACCTTGAGCTTCAGCTTTACTTCAGGCTTCTCGTTCTCCCGCTCTTTTCTGTTGTGGCCACCCCTGTTAAAACCCTCCGAATGCAAAGAAGAAGAATTCGAGTGGGAATGACGATTCTTTATTGCCAACGACTTTCCCCCCAACTCCTTGTTAATCTGAACTATAGAATGAATACTGTGCGGCTTACCCGGTTGGGGCTTTGGATCATCCAAGAACATATCGAACGACAGCAAGGACACGAGCGGCCTAATTGCATTCTCCCTCGCGAACTCCTCCTTGGCAAGTTGGTCGTGCTCCGCCATCCTCGAAACCAAATTGGCGACGGAAACCTGAACTCTCATCGGAGAATCACAGAGAACCTGGACAATTATGGGAATCCCAAGCTCGGTGGCGATGTGCCTGACCCTCTGCTGGTCAGTCGCCAAGTTAGAAAGAGCAGTGGCAGCGGCAATTTGGGCATCGGGGGAGGCCCCTTCTTTCAAGAGCTTCAGTAGAGGGGGAACCCCACCTTCTTCGACAATAATTTTCTTGTTGCGGTCATTGTCACGGGCGAGCGAGGCGATCTCGTTGGCGCCCTCCACTCGTTCGGGAAGAGGACCCATTTGAATGGCGGCGACGAAGGACCAGACGTAGGAGAGGATAGGGTCGTTGCTAGCGATAGGGGGGAGGGTACCGCCACCGGAGCCGTCGGAGTCCAAGATGCTGAGGAGCCACTTCATGTCGCCGATGGAGGCGTCGAGGAGGTTGAAGAGCTTGCGGAAATCGGTGGCGCTGGTGATGGTGACGACTCTGCGGAGGACGCCGCTGCGCTTGCACTTACGGACGAGGGCCAAGGCACGTTCGAGATTCTTGGAGACTTCGGCGACGATACGACGGACAGGGCGTTCGTAGAGGGAAGGGTTGGAGTTGGCGAGTCGGACAGCGGAGCGAAGCATTTGGGAGAGACGGTCGACTTGCTTACCTACTTCAGAGCAGTCGAGCTTGAAGGACTCTGCTTCTTCGACGGCTTTCCGTACTCTTTCAGCGAGTAGGATTGGAGAGTATAGCTCATCTTCGATGCTCTTCTCTTCCGCCATCGTTTATCAATGGATGGATTCTCTTCTTCTTTTCCTTCTCTTTTTTCTTTTCTTTGATCAATACATGTACCCTTACATTTGTATGTCCTTCTCCGCTTCTCAGCAGCAGCAGCAAATGCGTTTGAATCAACCAGAAAACCTGAGCAAAATAGATCTCACCATCGTCTCTGTTTCTTCTTCCTGCACCCTCCCAAATAAAGTATTAAAGTAGCGTCTTTTCCTTTCTTTTTTAATATATAGATTTTTTTTTTTTCCGAGGGAGCAGTAGTGGTCCTACTCTCCAACATTCCATTCCTAGACGAGTTTCCTTGGCTGAAGCGACTGAAGTTGGATTGGGTTGGGGTGATCAGCTATTAATTTTAGGAAAAGGTACAGAAACACACGATGCAGAATTTTGAATTCCAGCCCCCTTACAATTAGCCCTCTTCCCATATAAACCGCCGCATCCTGTCCATAAATTTGGCATCAATTCACGGTCAGATGCATTCCCCTGTACTTTAGCTTAATAAATTCTGATCTGGGCTGATTGGTGCTTCTCCCATTTTATCCTTATCCGTTAAAATTTGAAAGGCGAAAAGAAATAAAAGCTATTCAGTTCAGTCGTTTCAGCTCACGTTTCCAATACTAACCCCACCCAATTCCTCTTTTTTCTCCCACACTCCTACTTTTGTTTCGTTTTTTTTTTCGTATATACCATTGTATTTTTTACGTATCAACAAATTAGATTAATTACGACTCCAAAAATGCTCCATCAGATTCCTCTCTCTCTATCTCTCTCTTTCCAGCACAAAAATCGTTGATGATGGCCAAGCCAATATACATAATACACTAGTACCAACCACATGCACATCATTTACTGTATGCATTAATCCAAGCCGTTCAATCCCCTGGATCTTGTTTCAAGAATGATCAGAACCCTACCCTCTGTTGAGTGCTGAATACTTGAAATGAATGCCGATAAAAATAAGCCCACTCTTGTTTTAGCTAAAAGCCTAAAACCAATGTCGTTGGAAGACTCTGGCCCAAAAGTAATTAAAGGGTCAGGGCCCCAATACTTGGCCTAACAGTGGAAGGAGACGGATATGCTTGTCGTGGGTAGACGAGTCATATCCCAGGTGAAACGGAAACTATACATACATTTATTTTATTTTGGGTCAAAATAAGTTGGCCCAAAACCAAAAGACCTTGCCTTGCCGTGTGGTCCAAGAGAGTCAGACTCATTGAACACATGACCGTTTCAGTGGACATCCTGTCTTATAGATGACCTCCACGTGGCAAATAGGTAGGATTGTTTAAGGAATTTTCACAGTAATTATGGAAAGTGGAAACAGACTCATGACTCATGACGTTTAAGCCGGTATTTTGAAAACCAGATTGGAGCAATGGTCAAACTGGGTTAACAGGAAATTAGTCCAGTTACTAATGAACTGCCAATCTTCCATTCTCATTAAAATTGAATGCCAAACCATCGGTTCGAACAACCATATGTGATAATTTCCATCTAGTTCTAAAATTTGTAACAGATGTCTACTGAGTCTGAAATAGCCCACACGGTTCAAGCTGTGGTATAACATCTAAATCCATCAACTTTCACAACTGACCCATTAAATTCTTTTTTCAGAGAACTGGCCCATTACATTCTCACTTTGTTCCTTTTCTTTTAACCATTTAGGTGTTTGGTACAGTGGTGCAGCATTTTTGGATTGATAAAAATTTTTCTACTTGAAATGTTTGAACTGAGGATACAAATGGCTATTTTCTACACAAAAATGTTAAATTTGATGTTTATCCTAAGATGTGACAATACATATTTGATATTTCTGATGCTGTGATGCACATATATTTTCCAAGACCACAGTACTACCAGACACTCCCTGATGATGTGGATAAGGCAGTAAAAACTAAAGGAAAAAAAAACGATGTGGGTTCAGTCCGTGCAATGGTGCGCCTCTGACGTTCTATGTTCCAACAAAACCTGACAATGTTTGGTTGTCCACTTTGTGTGTGGGGGGGGAAGAATTCGATCTAGCCAAGTCAGTAGCTATCTATTGATGTTGGTGGCACGCACCCAAGACTCAACAGCAGTACGGTACAAAACAACGAAAACACACCACACCATCTACTTTGTTGGACAAACATCGCAAGTTCCTCCTTCAAATCATCAAATCAAAAACATCCAAACTGCTTCTCTTTGTACTTGTGTACGTTGCAATTCGCATAAGAAGCAATGCTTCTAGTTCCAATGTAGCGTGGCACGGCCGGACGGCCGGACGGGACCTCTCAAAAAGTTGGAACATCAACGTCCAAACGTTGTTTTCTTTTCACATACAAAACATGGCCTCCAGGGCCCAACTGCACAACTGCACTACAGAAAATAACAGAGCAATCAAAGCTAGCAACTTCCACACGCTGTTCCCAATTCCCAAAGGCCTCTCTCTCAATAAAGTTAAGGTGCATTGACTGACTAGTAGTTAGCTGATTTCAAGCCTAACCTGTCAAAACAGCAGACTATATCAAATGGATATAGAGAACTAGTGTCAATCCAAAAACAATAGTGGTTCTTCCTGTGCAAAGATATTTTTTCTTGAAACGCAAAAACAGGGTATGGGGGCTCTGCTTTTACCCATCTTTTTCTATTCCATCACTTCTCATTCTGGAGCTTAGTTTTTCATTCATTCAAATACGAACCAAATCGATATTGACAACTCTGGACAGAGTGACTCGTCCTCAATTGAACTCGCCTGGACTTTGACAGACGCCTCTTTAGAGCAAAGAATAATATACTCCTAAAGTCCAATATAGAGAAAGGCTCATTTGCCTTCGTAATTATCTTATGGCACAGTTCTACTTGATTCTAGTTAACCGGTTCTTGTGAACAAAAATCAGTTTGTCTGTATGATTCGCAAAAGATACAACATTTTTCTTTTGGATGAAGAGCACCACTGGCCTTTGACAGCAAGCTTAAGCTGAGGTTATGGTTGATACTATTGTTATTTCCACCTGAGACATTTTTTGGTTGATCAATACAAATTGGTGAGAAACATGTTTTGCCACTTCACATATAAGAGCCACTTCAACTAGAAAAATGTATGCACGAGACTGATCAGTGAGGTTTATAAATTATAATTGAAAGATCAAATTTAACGTTTCAGATAGAAAGAACAATTTGTATTGATCAACGCAAAACCTTTCAGGTAGAACAACAATGATATCAAAGACAACCTTGATCATTTCCTAGCATTGCATATTTGCATACAAGACTAAAAGGACAAATAGATTCCACAACACCTTTATCATCCAAACTACTTGGCAACCCCCATTCAAAATGTCTCCACTCAACAGGTCCAGAGAAGCTAATTGGGACAAGTTTCACTTGTGTTCAAAATCATTTTAGATTAACTAACAGGATTCAAGAATTAAATCAAGAACTTAATAGCATGTCCTCTGATGAGTGCCGCTCAACATAAATCAATTGCGTGTTGAGCAAGCAATTCACAACAATCTTTACATGGATTAATTGAAATAAATTGTCTTGAATAAATATCCAATCAACCAAGGGGTGGTTGACAACATGGTTTTGCTTTTGGGAAAAAAAAAACTGCCACATTAGCAAAATTACACTGTTTTCGCTAATGTGGCAGTTATTTTTGTTTTTAAAAGCAAAACCAACCATGTTGTTGCCCAATGTGAGTTCCCCCCCCTAGTTGCAAGTTTCAAAAACAAAACAAAACCAGCTGGTTTGAAAACAAATTGGTTCTTAAAACAAAAACACAGAAAACATGTTCTTGAATTTCTAGCTTAAAGAACATGTCTTCATCTGGCTAGTTAATATCATATTCCACAAATTACTACAAAATTTGTGTTTGTTTTAGAAACCATCATTTTGATGGTTTCATAAACATGTATTGTTTTTTGAAACAAAACCAACTTGCTTTTGCTTTTCAAAATCAGAAACACAGTTAAGAACATGTTTTTTGTTTTGTTTTTTTTTTTTTGGCTGATGGGGCAATTTCAAAAACAAATGAAAATAAAAGCATTCAGTGTAGAACGCCTCCTAAATGTGAAGTTCACAAAGAAACGTCAATAAATTCCAATAAACAGTACACTAAGATGTTTGAGCCCATTAATAAACTGAATGATGTCGAGCAACACACTGCAAATAGTCATCCTACCTAACAAAGAAGCAAAAATAAAATTTGGGACCCATTCATCTTCGACAACTTCAGAGCTTTGCAAGCAATCCATTCTGAATAGGCTTCGTCACAATGTTATCTTTGAGATCCAAATCACTTGTACTGGGTGGGACATCCACTGCAGGAGAGCAATTGAAGAACCCATGCGGCTGTTGCACATACATCAAAATGCCAACATAAGGGCAACTAGTAAAGCCTATTAAGAGTGAAGCTTTGACCATTATAGTGATCTACATATTTTCATATGATAAAAAATTTATACATGTATTATTAACATGATGCCTGAGCTTTTTTATATGCAAACATACAATCTCAAGTACGCATATGTCTCAACTTGTACAATATGTTAATAATTAATTGTGTATGTTTTGGTAAACATAATTAATTGTGTATAAATGTAACCTTTTAGGGTGTGCTTGCCAATGCACATTGTTTTTGCTGATGTTGCAGTTGTTTTTGTTTTCAGAAACAAAACCATACACATTGGCAAACACCCCTTTAGCCATCCAAAAGGATTACATGACATCATGATGGATCAAACATTTTCATCTATTCAGCCTGTCATAAAAAATTAAAATAAGCTGCAAGGTGTGCAGATTTAGTAGTTCCATCTGCAATTTTTCCCTGTAAAATTACTATTATTTCTTTATTAACTTTGTCAATGACATATCCCCCCCCCCTCTCCACACAATACACAAATACAGAGAGAAAAAGGTTCAGCCATGTTGTGCCCTGCTAAACTGCATGTTTTATGGGTCCAAAAGTGTGAAGGCCAAAAAGGATTTTAGTTGAGGTAGTCCAAAAAATTTTTTAGTGGAAAGATATAGCCAAGATTCATGTAGAAGATACCAAATAGAGGGAATACAGATTGAAAGTGGATGTACATTATTAACAATGTTAATAATGATGGAATTCCAATAAGGAATTAGCTCCAACATTAATGGATTTCCCATAAACATGATGATAAGGATGACTATTGAACATTAGTTTCAACTCATGGATTTCCCAGAAGAGATTATAAAACCAATGCCAACAAAAGATGATGCATTTATACACACTAAAAATCTATTGCCTCATTAGTAGCTTCTTAATGAGTACCCTTGCAGCAAGCACTCGTTAAGATTTTTTTTTTCTTTTTTGGTAATCAAACACTTATTAAGATAACTTAAATCTTTTTCCACATTTTCCCAAAAAAACTGAATATGTAAAGTGCCTGGCCCAAAAAATGCCATGATTACTTGTCCATAGTGTTTAAATTTTAAAATCATGTTCAAATGAAAATAGAAGATTGATGAGTAGATTACCATGAGCATAAAACCAATTCTCTCAACTGGCATGACTGGCCAATCTTCAAGTCGAGGAATATGTGTAATTCCAAATATATACCTGCAAAAGTTACCAATATGATGGGTATCTCAATGAGATTTATTTCAAGCTAGGACAGAAATAAACCTTAGAGGAAAAAATAAATTACAAAATTCATAAGATAGACTACACAATAACTGAAAGTGAACAGAAGCAAAATGAGCCCCAAAAATTTTATTTTTACTTTTGTCTTATATCAATTTAACATTTAGGTGATAATAATGATAACAGACAACCATTCCATGAAAATTGGTTCAGTTGACAAATAAAATAAATAGAAAATTAGAGCACTGTGGATCTAAATCCTAATAGTTTCCATGCTCTGAGATCCAAAACTTCACATGTTAAGTCAAAACCATAATGGCCATACAAGATTAATTCAAATTATTCTCCATTATAAATGGACCTAGGTTTATAAAATTGACAAGAAAAAGCACATAGACACCTGGACAAGAACTGTTGAAAGGTTATTATTCTGTAAGTTTAGTACCGCAGGGGTACTTTGGTACTTTCAGCATCTTTTATTTTAAGTTGTCGCCCTAGTATAAATAATAAAAAGCTGGTGCTGCCAGCATCTCTTTGAGATTCCAAATCTCTTTTCTTTCTTCTCACTTCTCTCTTCCTTTCTTCCTTCTTCTCTTCTAGACAACATGGCATCAGAGCGGGACTGTCAGATCTGAAAGAAGAGATCGGGCAAACCTTTTCTGTCTTCTTCCTTCGCCAGCTACAGTGAGATTTATTGAAGATCCAGATCCAATTTTCTTTTCTGCATCAGACTGAAGTACTCTCTCTCCCTTTCTCCATTTTTTATTTTTTTTTCTGGTCATGTGCCAGAACAGAACCTGTAATAGATTCAGTCAGTTAATGTGAGGTGAGCAGCACCCCCTTCTTTCCTTTTTTATGGGATCGGCTGATCCCTGTAACAGACTGTAGGTCGGTGATGACCTTTATATGCTGCGACAGCAGCCTTCAGATGAATTTGTAGGTCAGGGGATGACCTGTATATGCTGCGACAGCAGACATGCCTGATTTATGGTAGGCCAGTGATGACCTGTTAGTTCTGTAACAGCAGCTGATTTTGTTTGAAGAACTAAGATTTAAAAGGGGGAAAAGGAGGGGAGTTGTCTCTAACTCCCTGGTGCAAAGAGTTTTATTGGGGTGTTCGTCTGTTTTTTTTTTTTTTTTTTTTTATTTTGCAAA